CCTCAGTGTCGATCGCAACCCTCAGTGTCGATCGCAACCCTCAGTGTCGATCGCAACCCTCGCAACCCTCAGTGTCGATCGCAACCCTCAGTGTCGATCGCAACCCTCGCTCAGCCAGCCAGTGAGCGGGAACCGGTCTGTATGTGGGATCCGAACCCTCGGCGGGAGCGCCGCCACACTTCCCAAGCGCTACACACTGCTACAGTGCGCCACCAGGCCGGCCCCTTCCTATCATCTTTTAACACCAGCTTTGTTTTTACCCACAGAGGGGTTTTTGAAAAAGAAAGATACTGTATCTTAGAAGTTGTTACTTTAGCAAAAAGTGACATGGAAAACGTATTTCATTTTCTCTTTTCTGATACATATGTTGCAGATGCTAAAAGTTAACTAAGGAAAATTGGAGTTGGGGGGGTTAAAGAATATATTTGTTTTAAAAAGTTGATCTACATGAGTAAGGAAAAAAACCCTTTTTCATATTTGATACACATCTTTCCTTGCTGTCTGCATTTTTATTTCTGATGTGCAGAAATTTTGTTGTATAGAATTTTAACAAGTTTCTGTTCTCACCTCACCTCTTGATATTTTTCCTTACAGTCTGTGGGGTTTGCTTTAAATCCTTTCTCCATCCAAAAGTCAGAAAAATATTCAACTGTATTTCTGTATTATTTTTAATATTTAAATTTTAAAATTTAAATACTTGATTCACTTGGAACTTAGTTTGGTTTATAGCATGTGACTTTTTGTTTGTTTGTTTTAGGCAGATCCAAAACCCCAGACCTTCGTGTTATAACACTGTGCTCTAACCAACTGAGCTAACTGGCCAGTATTTTTTTTTTTTTAATAGTGTTGAAAGGTCCTAAATTTCTATTTTTTTCCTCCAAAAAAAAGTTAAATAAATAAATCACAGTTTCCCCCATAATGTGTATTGAATAGTGTCTACCTAAAAGAAACTAAGGCCAAACATGTAAAGCATAGGACTTACGCAGCCAGTATGACTGTTACAATCAGGAAAGTGCATACGGCAGGTCGCCCTGAGAAATGCCCTGCAAAGAGGGCCAGCAGAGCTCAGCATTTTATAATCACAAGAAGGCGAAAGAATCAAAGGAGGGAGAGCACAGTCCTAACCCTGCCTTATTATTACATCAGTTTTTCTATGCATGATGTATAGATTGGGATGTTACTAGGTTATATACTATATGTAGGGATCCAGGGTAAGGGTTACAAGAAGCATTCTAGGTTATTTTATGACTTTCTGGTGCCATCATATCTGCTTCTAAGTAAAAATGGTCTTAATGATAGTTTTCCAGGACACATGCAGGTGACTACTGACTTATTCCAAATCCCCCAAGGCACTACAGTGTAGCTGACCTGGTCAGACCAGATTTTTTTTTTGTCTGGATCCAGCGAATTTGTGATACTTTTTAAATCATGTATTAAATGCAATGTAAAAACCAGGGTATAGGGCCGGCCCGGTGGCGCACTGGATAGTGTGCCGCTTGGGAGTGCGGTGGCGCTCCCGTCCGAGGGTTCGGATCCCACGTACAGACCGGCTCCCACTCACTGGCTGAGCGAGGCGCAGGAGCAGCGCCGAGGGTTGCAATCCCGTTGCCGGTCCCCGGTCCGGTACGGGGGCAACACTGAGGGTTGCAATCCGTTGCCGGACACGGAAAAAAGACAAAAAGACCATAAAAAAATAAAATAAAATAAAAAATAAAAACCAGGGTATATAGGGCCAGCCCGTGGCTTGCTTGGGAGAGTGTGGTGCTGATAAC